GAACAACATAAAATGTAGCATTTTATTGTTTCCTGAAGTCTACTTACAATACAAACATTCATAATTATGTTTTCTTTTTTTGACAATTTTCCACTCTCTCTGACTCATACACTTATCTCATACATCTTGTTTTACATGGATTAATTTTGGTGCCCATATTAACAGGTAACAGGTTTCACACTGCATTCATCAGTAGAGTGGTGCTGCATGACAGAAGTAGCACTGCAAGTATAGTTTCAGCACTGGGACTAGTTTTGCTGCGCATTAAGCCCAAAGTTAGTCTCAGCCTCAGTCGTCACGCCCATGGACTGTTGGCTGAACATCTGATGCATATGGCACACAAAATTGGAAACAATTGAACAAATGAATTATACAGGATTTCCGGGAGACGTGTGTCGCGTTCTTTAACATTCTGCCTGAAAACAAAGATGCCGTGATGCCAAACCCCTTCATGGAAGTAGAAATCCGTCATGTTTACAACTGTGACGATGAGCACTTAACATTTTCAGATTTTCGGATCTGCTGGATTTTCAAAAGTATAACGGATAAGCTGGATTTTCAAAAGTATGTGAAATATGTAAAGTTTGCGCATAGACTATTTAAAATACGTCCAAGAGTTTTACACACCAGTCTGTTATTGTTGGGACATTTCCACGCCCCTAAACATGACGCGGCACAAAACGAAACCTGATTGGTTGGTTTATCTGTCAATCATATGGCCTCTTGGGCCGTCCTTGGCCATTCAAAGCGGCCGAGGTTCCCAGAGTCTACTGAAGTCATGCGATAGCTTTTTGTGAGGAACAGACAAAAAAAATTGCCCTCTGCTATACCTTTCAAATCGAATTTTTGTCATCACTTTAACATTCATGCATGGTTTGTTGCGACCGATCAAACATGCAAGAACCATATCACGTCAGTTAAGCCTAGATATTTCTAATAGAGTAAATTTTTTTTTTTTGGCGAATTAATACTTAGTGTCTGTTATTGTTTCAGCTGTGTGCGTCTGTGAAAGAGACCCCATTAACAGGGCTCAGCAGCAATTCATCATGAATGTTATGGCGTGCTGGTGTAATAAATGAATAGCTGCAAAGCGTGCCTTTATAATTTCATGGCCTCCACTCTGCCTGATTGATAGTCCCTGTTGTCCTGTACTCTCATTCAAATGACTGACAGCTGGCTCAAGACAACAGGGGTGCAGCATGCTGCTGCTGTTGCAGGCCTGACACTGACTGAGCTACAGCGGCAGTCAACCACAGAATTGTTTACACAGATTGATAGGATCCATGAATAAATGCCACAGTCAATTCATCGTTTGGAACAACATAAAATGTAGCATTTTATTGTTTCCTGAAGTCTACTTACAATACAAACATTCATAATTATGTTTTCTTTTTTTGACAATTTTCCACTCTCTCTGACTCATACACTTATCTCATACATCTTGTTTTACATGGATTAATTTTGGTGCCCATATTAACAGGTAACAGGTTTCACACTGCATTCATCAGTAGAGTGGTGCTGCATGACAGAAGTAGCACTGCAAGTATAGTTTCAGCACTGGGACTAGTTTTGCTGCGCATTAAGCCCAAAGTTAGTCTCAGCCTCAGTCGTCACGCCCATGGACTGTTGGCTGAACATCTGATGCATATGGCACACAAAATTGGAAACAATTGAACAAATGAATTATACAGGATTTCCGGGAGACGTGTGTCGCGTTCTTTAACATTCTGCCTGAAAACAAAGATGCCGTGATGCCAAACCCCTTCATGGAAGTAGAAATCCGTCATGTTTACAACTGTGACGATGAGCACTTAACATTTTCAGATTTTCGGATCTGCTGGATTTTCAAAAGTATAACGGATAAGCTGGATTTTCAAAAGTATGTGAAATATGTAAAGTTTGCGCATAGACTATTTAAAATACGTCCAAGAGTTTTACACACCAGTCTGTTATTGTTGGGACATTTCCACGCCCCTAAACATGACGCGGCACAAAACGAAACCTGATTGGTTGGTTTATCTGTCAATCATATGGCCTCTTGGGCCGTCCTTGGCCATTCAAAGCGGCCGAGGTTCCCAGACCTTCTGCCGTCAGTCTGAAGGTCTGGCTACGCGAGACTAGCCCAAAGTATACTTCGGCCATTCGTGTTCCACAATGGTCCGCTCACTTGTCCGCATGACGTAATTTTCATCATCAGGCGTGTCCGCAGGTGCGGTGCGAGGTGAATGTTGAGACAGAAAGAATCCACTAGGTGGTACTACTCATGTTGAACTCGTTTGTCTACGCTCATCCACAGTTGAGGATACTTTGACATGTAGACATGTAAAAATGTCTCACTAGCTGACCCAAAACAACTATTTTGATCAAAAAGAGAGTTGTCTCACCTGCCGACTGTTTTTGATGAAATCTCGCCCTCTTCTGTTGGAGGTCTGACACATATGGCAGAGAGTCTTAAAAGTCTTTAAGTTTTAAGGTGGACAATGGCTTGTTGCTTCTTCAGAAGCTCATTGGTCACTGCCGTGGCCAAATGATCGTCCCACCAAATGAACATTAATTTTGAATGAGACAGAAGTTGATTTCAAGTCAGTAAGGCCATTAACTCAGCAGGGAGTTGAGTCATTGCAGCTGTTAAGGCTCCCCTGCTGAGATCTGATTCTCCATCAACTATGTAAATGAGGCTTATGATTGAAAATCTGCTGAAAAATCAGCTGGCATAAACATTGACCGCCATGCAGTGCATTCAGAAAGTATTTTTTACATTTGTTTTCCCACATCAATCTCCAAACCCCAAATAATGACAATGAAATGCCTTTTTGTGATAACTTTGCAAAATTATTACAAAGAGAAAACTGAGAATATCACATTGCATACACCGTTCTTATTTGAAGTACTTTTTGAAGCGATTACAACCTCAAGTCTTTGTGGTTATGAGGCGACAAGCTTTGCACACCTGGATTTGGGGTTTTCTGTCATTCTTCACTGAAGATCCTCTCAAGCTCTCTCAGGTTGGATGGAGACCATCGATGAACAGCCTTTTTCAGGTTGCTTGAGAGATGTACGATTTGGTTGGTTGTTCCTAAGCCCTCTTGTCTCGTCTGTGTGGTTAGTGTCATTGTCCTGTTAGAGGGTGAACCTTCGAAATAAAAGCATTTTAGCATAAGACTGGGCTTATGAAGAATTTAAAGTGTATTTGATCTGCAGAGTTTCAAACGAGCAAGGAAAATCCCCTTTTCCGTGATATATTCCCTTTAAACAGAGAATTGTCTTTGACTCGAAGCTTAGTTGTTGATGTGAATTGAGTCGAAGGCAGGGAAAGTGGGAAACCTTTGAGTCCTGTTGTGTCAGAACAAGCTTTGGCATTTTGTGTAGCTGAATTATAGAAACATGGGGGTCATTGAAACAAGGTGAGATACACATCTTTTTAACTCACAGTAGGCATCAAATTGTGTTCCCATGTCCCAAACCCTCTGTCATCTATGCATCGCTCACAGCACTGTCAGAAGGGCAGCCGGCTGCATCCTTCACATTCATGGCACCTTTCCCTATTTTTCACCTGAGGGAATGTTGGGATTAACAGGGCTGGAGGAAAGTCACCACAGAGTGTCTGACAGCAGTACGGCATTTCTGTGTAATTGGCATTGCTCCAGGTCCACGTCTACATCCTTGCAGGCTGGAGTGCCTGTCCTCCCCACCGTGAAGGAGCTTGTTAAGGGTCTCGATTCAGTGTAACTACAGAATGGGGGCAAAAAGCCAGCATCCCCCAACCTGCTTCATGTGATTTTGGAATACATTTTTAGTCCTTTTTTTACACTGGGAAAGAGGAAAACATGCCAAGACTCTCTGATTTCCACGGGGAACTCTTGAAACCCAAATGAGCCAGAGATCTCAACGTTTCGACAGCTTGAAGAGTGGAAATCCCAGTTCTAATTGTGACTGAAATGCTGCTTGGCAAACTCTTCTTGCCAAGCGGCGATCTGGGCACGATTAAATTTATGCCCATTATGCACATCAGCACATTAGACGGAACTTCACGTGGTGAACATGATGTCTCGTCCCCTGAGAAACTTAATGTCCAGTGGGTGTCAGGCTGAATGTCCTCAGACGGTTGCTCTTGAAACATGTCTTGAGGAGACATACTTCATTAACAACGGCCTTTCTGATGGCCTGCTGGGGCTTTGGTCCCACACTAGTTTTGAAGAATGTCAATTTGGCTGAAATCTGTCCAGACTTCACTGTCTTCCAGTGCTCTCCCACAAAGTCTGATAATTTGACTGCCTGAGAAGGAACAGAGAACGAAAAGTATGCAGAATTTAAACTTGCCTTCATAAGTCAACATGAGATCGAAATGGACCCCATTTACTTTTTTCAAAAATGAACATTCTGTCATTATTTACGCACTCTCATGTTGTTTCAAATGTGTATTACGTTCTTCTGTTGAATGCAAAATGAGAGAATTGTATGAATATCCATTACATTGTGACTTACTTTATGAAGCTCCCAAGAGTGTCAACATAAAACTACATATGGCTGAATATTTTTCAAGTATTCCAATCAGGTTTTTTTTTCTTCAAATATTTAAGCAATTTTGACTGTAAAATTGTGACTACCATCCATGTTCTCCTTTTGCACCATATAGTACATCAAAATATGCAATACAATATAATACAATACAATACAATCCATTCATTAAGGGATTCAAACTCTAAATTGGCCAAAATCAAGATTTGACAATTGAGAAACATTGCAACATAGATGACATTATAAATGCTATTTCTGGGTTAAGATTGTTTGGAAACACACACAGGATGTTTTTTTCACCTCCTAGAGGAAGCAAATATGATGGAGAGGAGCAGAGTGCAGGGGTCTTGAGACATGTTTTGTTAGAAAGTTGAACTATTTTTAACTCTTAAAGGGGTCATGCATTTTTGAATTTTCTAATGTTTCCTGAATTGCACTTATAATGTTATTAGGGCTTTTACATGAGTCTTCTTTATCTCTAGGTAACTACCCACGCCCTTCTAACTATGGCGGAGCACCAGGTGCCAACTACAGTGGCCCCGGCCCAGGCAACAGTCTTGGCATGAATGCCAGCAGTCCAATGCACGGGCAGGGTCCAGGGCAACCCTGTGGCTCTATGACCACGGCTCGAGGACCAGGGCATGCAGCTGGCGGCCGGCCGTACCCAGCAGGCTCCAGCAGTGTGGCTCCAACGTCTCCCAACATGCCTCAGTCTGCTGGCCCTGGGATGGGTCCACCTCCTCCCAACGTCAGTCGCAAGCCCCAAGAGAGTGGCCCTACATCTGCCCAGCAGAACCCAGTCCCCTCTGGACAGCCCAGGTAAATCAGAGCCATAATTATGTGCCCTCCTGCTTGTTTGGTCTAGGATGCATAAATAGTTAAAGGGATAGTTCAACCAAAAATTTATTCGCTCTCATGTTGTTCTATACTAGTATGGTTTTCTTTCTCCTGTGAAACACAAATGAAGGTGTTTTGAAGAATGTTGGTAACCGAACAGATTTGGTTACCATTGACTACCATTGAAATCACGATCACTGAGACAGTTCTCAAAATATCTTCTTTTATGTTCCAGAGAAGAAACAGTCATACAGGTTTATTTTTTTGTGTAAAGTATCCTAAAACATGAAGATACATTTTTTTTTCTTTTTTGGCTTAAGAGTAAATTAATTCCATTTGGGGAAATCTGGTCGGTAATGAAAAAAAACTCAAACCAAATAAAGTGTTTTTTTTTTTTTTTTGGACAAATACAATCAATATAATTCAGGGTTCTCCATTTAGATTGTTAGAGCCAATACTGATTTCTTGTCACCTAATACCGATTCTGTTTCTGTTTTAAGTTTTTATCAGTAGCTTTATCATAACCAATTATGTAAGCTCTCTGCTCACGGTCACTGTTAATTGAATTAAAATAATGCCAGCTGTTGCCTAGATCTTGTTGTTTGACAAAAACACTGTAGTTTGGTTAACTTGGTAAACAGATAAACAAACAGAAATTATTCATTATGTATTCAAAAAACAAATGTTTTCATAAAAACAAGCAAGCAATTGATATTAAATACAACCATGACACATTAAATACAGGCGTAATCAAACTTAATATGACCGTTTTGTTTATTTATCCATTATTTCATGTTTAATTATTACTATTCATTGCAATTTGTCATTTAAGAATTAATTAAAATGTCTAAATACTGCATGATGGCATTCCCCACCTTTTCATTGGAGGTTGGTAATATTGATTTCTCTTTTATTTGTTTTCAATGAGGGGAACATGTTCTCATGTGAGGCAAGAGTGGAGAGAGAACAGCAAATGTGTATGGACTGATTTTGTTCCACTGTTAAAGGGATAGTTCACTAAAAAAATTGAATTTATGTAATTTTTTGGCCACACTGACGTTGTTCCAAACCCATATGAGTTTCTTTCTTCTGTTGAGCATAAAAGAAGATATTTTGAAGAATGTGGGAAACCAAACAGTTGATGGTTCCTAGTGATTTCCATAGGATGAAAAAATACAGGTTAATTGTGATCCATACTGGAAAGAATCTCATACAGATTTTGAACTTTTTTGGATGAACTGTCCATTTAATGACATTTGTGACCCTGGACCACAAAACCAGTCTTAAGTCGCTGGGGTATATTTGTAGCAATAGCCAAAAAAACATTGTATGGGTCAAAATTATCGATTTTTCTTTTATGCCAAAAATCATTAGGATATTAAGTAAAGATCATGTTCCATGAAGATATTTTGTAAATTTATCAAATATATCAAAACTTAATTTTTGATTAGTAATACGAGTTGCTAAGAACTTCATTTGGACAACTTTAAAGGCGATTTTCTCAGTATTTAGATTTTTTTTGCACCCTTAGATTCCAGATTTTCAAATAGTTGTATCTCGGCCAAATATTGTCCTATCCTAACAAAACCATACATCAATGGAAAGCTTATTTATTCAGCTGTCAGATGTACAAATACATCATGATGTACAAATCTAAATGTCAACAAATTGACCCTTATGACTGACTGGTTTTGTTGTCCAGGGTCACATTTATTCAGATTAACTCACATTATTATTAAGTTGTCATATTCACCATACCTTCCTGAAGCATCATGATTCAGAATGGTCCCCCTTTGTAACTTTTATGCATGTTCAATATGTCATTTTGCCTATGCCTCACTGGTTGGCTACTACTCAACAGTCTATTTGGCAATATGTCGCCAAATAATGCTGAAGGTGGCATTTGGGACAGGGCCAAACATGGAATTACTCAGTACACCTTTGAGTTGTCATTTCTGTTGAAAGTGAACAGGCACCAAGGAGACTGTTATGCTCTTCCCCCTGCTTCAGGCCTCCCTTTGGCAGGTCCCCTGTATACCTCGGCCTGGCTGGGCCCGGGGGACGGCCAGCCTCCTTCCCTATCCCTCACCCCCATCACCCTCACTACAGTTCTGGGCAAGGCCAGGGGCAGCCTCATGCTGAGCTGTATGGGTAGGTTCAAGCTCGGAACTCTGGCTGGATGGCTTTGCTCTGCTTGAATCTGCTCGCATCCGCTAGAAACAACACAAGCCAAGCGCTCTGCATTCGCCTCTCCTTTTTCCTCCACCATGGCTGTGTTGTACTCTTGAGCATTTAAGAAAGTTAATCCTAGTTTTTACACAGACAGGAGAAGCATCCTTTGGAGAGAACGTTCAGTAGGTTGGACATTTCCATGTCTTTAAAAGCATGCAGCAACCATACATCTTAACTGAACAGCTGGCCTCTGTTGATCTGAAATCTAAAATTGGCACATTTACAAGCACATCGTGTCACAGGTTTGACGTCATATCTGCCAAAACGGCACTGGTTCTCACATATGTTGAGAAATGGAGAATAGGAGCTGTTGCAGAAGGGAATATTTTCATTGAATAATGACTTAAATTTTGGTCTGTTTTCACATGAAGTTATCAAATGAAAAAGTCACAAGACGTAGATAGCAGAAAAGAGCTGTGAAGATGTTTCAAAAATGTGCTTGCATCTTCCATGAAAAATATATCAGCATATGAGTTTGGAGCAACATGGACTGATTTTTGTGTGTACTTGTCCTTTAAGATATAATCAAACTGAAACTCTTTTTATTGAAACAGCAGCTCTCGTGTTCGACAGTGTGTGTGTGTGTGTGTGTGTGTGTGTAAATGTTTGTCTCCAAACTAAGTTTGTTTAGCCCACTTATTTCCTGTTTTCTGGATTTAAAAGTGGACTTGGATCGTATTTTGTTCTTAGATTGAAATTGAGTAGTGTAAACACTTCAAGTGTGCTTTGGGTCACACCCATTTTAATGATCGCATAACGCCATATACTCTAATTAAAATGAATAATTGTGCAACCCAAGTTCAGTTTTAGTTAGAGTTCAGGTGTGATCCGCAGATATCCGTCGGAGAAAATGTTTTCATACGTGAAGACATGTGGATTGTTTCTTATTTAACACTTAACGTCTTATTTAAAGCGAAACATGGCGTATAGACAACACAGGAATCACTTCTTTTTCCTTTGTGTATTAATCGTGAATGTCTTAACCATCTCTGCTGTCGCTGCATATTTGTTGCTTGCCAGCTGGAAGAAAAGAAAGAAGAAAAGAAAATAAGTGTACTAACAACTTACCAATGTACTCTTCACATATTAAACAGGCTCTTCAGCTTTGTTTGTGTCTTGATGTTTGTGTGCTGTTGTCCACAGGCCAGGCGGGTATCAGGCTGGGCCCCACATGCTTGGGATGGGTCCTGGAGGCCCCTACAACCATCCACCAAGCAACAGCGCAGCCAGGATGACCCCTCAAGGACCGTCCTACAACACAATGCCCACAGGTGCGTGTTTAGCTTATTCATGCGACAAGAATGCACCGTTTTTCGTTAATGAAGAAATTGAAGAATGTTTAATCATTTTACACTACAGCTCAATAGATTGGTGTCAGTACGAATATTTTTAATTTTGTTGTCTCTTATGCTCACTAAGCATAAGAAATGTATTTGATTAAACATATAGCAAGAACATTAATATTGTCAAATATTATTACAATTTCAAATAACTATTTTCATATATTTTAAAACATAATATATTCCTGTAAAATGCTGATTTGGTGCTCAAAATAGTTTTTTTTATTGTTATCAATGTTGTGCTACCTACTATTTTTATGGAAAACAAATACATACATTTTTTCAGGATTCTTTGGCGGTTAGAAAATTCAAAAGAACAGCATTTATTTGAAATATAAATATTTTAAAGTGCCCCTATTATGGGTTATGAAAGGTTTATATTTTGGTTTTGAGAGTCCCCAACAACAGGTTGACATGCATGCAAGGTCAAAAAACACTTTCATTGTCTTATAATATGCATTTATTTTTACCTTACTTGCTCAACGACTCCTAAACGATTCGTTTAACGATTAATTTTCCCAAACCCCTCCTTTGCGTGACGTTAATCGGTGATGATTGGTCCGATTGGTCTAATTTCCATTTCATCAAGTCTGTAATGCCTGATAAAGCAGCGTTTGTGAGCACAGTGCTGCTTTGTTTATAGCCGTTACCGGGAAAACAGCTCTTTTACGCTCCAAAAGCGGCACCTAGTGGCAAAGAACTAATTAGCATTTTCATTCAGACCGCTAAAAGACCAACAAGTGGGCGGGCAATATGCTAATGTTTCATGTTGAGGTCAACATGAAAGGCTTGGGATTCGTTTTAAAAATGACTCGTTTCAATGATTCAGAGTCGACTCTTTCTTTTGAGAGACAATAACTTTATACACGGTGCACTTTCAGATTTAAAACTTGGCAGGATGTTTTCATTCACGTAGAGCTGTGTTACGCACTGCATGAAAGGTAATTTTCAAAAATCCATAATAGGGGCACTTTAAAGCATTATAAATGTCTCTGTCACTTTTGAGTAAAAGTATTAATTTCTTTAAAAAAAAGCTTACTGACTCTAAAAGTTTGCGCTGTAGTGTATATCAAAAATATTCTATAAATCTGTTTCACAAAGTATTTTATTTTTAGACATAATATTTGATGCTAGGAATTTGCATTGCACCAAGTTAAGACGTGCTGTTACAGTAGAGATGCACACATATACCTTTGTTTAGAGGGTGTTGATCAGATGTTGTGCAGATCTCTGGATGTTGCAGTTTCAGTGTCTGAATCTCCTGTAGGACCCGTGACAGGCTCAGGCAACAGCATGATGCCCACCAATCCCAAACTGAGAGCTGAGCACAAGGAGGAGGGCAGCACACCCACCACAGAGCCTCCTAAGCCAAAGGTATGAACGGATCCTTCTCCCTTTGACTCATTGAACATGTTCAGAAGATACTAACAGATCAATTGTAACACTACTCCTAAACCTTCTCTATTGCAGTCTACGCATGACCACTGACCTTTGCTTTAACAATAACTTTGTTAATATCTGCTCAGTAAAGGTGAAACTATCTGCTTTGGTCTTGACACTGTGCCCTAACTAGGAGTGGTGTGATAAAATGTAAATATAGGCTGGTTATAGTCTAATAACTATAATAATACCCATTACCAAAAATCCACCAAATTTAGATCCCCAATTCGCAAGCACAAACATGATGGAGCACTAGCAGAAAATAAAAATCATTGACTTTTTTTCTAAATTGAAATAGAATCAGATTGTGACCAAATTTCCGATTTCATGATAATTTTGCAAAGAATCTTAATCAAATTGTCGTCAGAGGAAATATTGACACCCTACCGCTCGTAGTTTTGTTATTATACTCCCTAAATTGAGTGCTGAAAGTGCTTGAATAGTGTTCCATTTCAACGTGTTATTCAGTAAACAAAGGAATATAATTCTCTCATGTGTCCCAATGAGAACTCTTGTAAGCTCTGGGAGACCTTATTTCACAATTTTCTTCTGTAGAACTCGTTCTTTCCAAGTCATTGCCCTTACTTTCATCAGAACTTCATTGTGTCATTAAGTTCAGCTTTCGTTTGATTGGTTGAAATATGGCGCACCAGCAGAGCGTTCTCTCTGAACTCATCTTTCCATTCTCGCTTCTGGATGTCATTTTTTTCTGGGGTTTTGTTTTATCTGTAATTCATCGTGATGTTCTGTTTTGTCCCCTTACTGATTAGAGGGAAGCAGTTCTGTCACCTTAAATAATTCTCAAAGAATTCCCTCTGTTTTCATCCTGATTCACAATAATCTCTATACTTTTTTTTTTATCTCATGGCATCATTCGGGAGCAGAGCATGGCTTTTAATGAAACGTGTAGAAAACATCACAGCAAACAGAAGTGCCTTCAAACGTTTTGCACAACAGCTGAGCTCTACTGATAATAGCAAATAAGAGTGCAAATTATTACATTATTTGTTTGGAGATGCAACAGCAAAGTAGACAATATTGTGAAAATGTATGCTACTCCGTGTTATTTATTTGAGCTGTTGTATAAAAGCAATCATGCTGTTGGTAAATTTCCTGCTATAAATTTGTATTAATTTTTTTTATGTAACAACCGGTAATTACATCAAATGCAGCTTGTGATGGCATAAAGCTGAATAAAATTACTTTTAGTAAAAAACTTGAGCTTGGTTCTGTAAGAGTATTATGCATCATTTCGGTGGACAAGGAGTAAAGGTGATCTGAAAGCTGTTCCTCCATTAAACGTGTGTGTGTGGGTTTCCCTATGTTTTCTCCATCACAGGACAACTACATAAAGAACGGCGAAACCTCTCATATCTGCCTCAACCATCAATCACAGACATCAAAGAATCAGAGGGGGGGTTCACAGAGAATGCATTCCACCTGCTGATGGTGTTTTTATTTTTTTGCATGTGCTCTCTGCATTGTTTTAGCACCCTGCATCTCACACAAGGTTGGTGGAAGAACAATAAAAAAAAAATATCAGGGGGTTTCAAACGTTTTCAGGGTGTGAGTGTTAAAATTTATATATAATAGTAAGTACATGTTAATTAATACTACTCAGTGTGTTATTAAATTGTGACAAGGACAAATTAAAATAAAGTGTGACCACATATTTATATCATTGATGCACAATGTATAAGTACCATATTGGCTGATTTTGACTATTTCATTATAAATTCTCATGCTGTTAAATTTAATCTTTACACACATTAAAACACTAAGATTTTACTAACACTGTTAAATGTAAACTCGTATGTAAAAATCGTAAAATCTTATGAATATCAGTTTGAGAAATATCAGCTTGTACACAAAATAATTATCTACTTATCCCAATCAGAAATAATTGTAATATTTGTGACCCTGGACCTTAAGTCTTAAGTGTCAATTTCTCAAAATTGAGATTTATACACCATGTGAAAGCTGAATAAATAAGCTTTCCACTGATGTATGATTTGTTAGGATACGACAATATTTGACCGAGAAACAACTATTTGAAAATCTGGAATCTGAGGGTGCAAAAACATAAAATTATTGAAAAAAAATCGCCTTTAAAGTTGTCCAAATGAAGTCCTTAGCAATGCATATTACTAATCAAAAATGAAATGTTGATATATTTACGGTAGGAAATTTACAAAATATCTTCATGGAACATGATCTTAACTTAATGTCCTAATGATTTTTGGCATAAAAGAAAAATAATTGGTTTTATTACTTTGCATCAACTGAGCCATAGAAATTTCAGACGTTATTAGGATGCTGTCCTTTTATGCCATTGCATTTCTATGGAAATTAATAACTAGTTATTGGATTATGGAAATGCAATCTGGGGATTGTATGATTTTGGTTTCTTTTCCTTGAGCTTGGAAGAAGTGATTAGGACATTGTCATCTGCTTGTAGATTTATAAAATACCATTTAAGCAGAATCAGAATATTATTTCTAAAAAAAGGGTATTTTAAAATATCACACAAGCTATATGTTTTAATGAGGCTTTTACATTATTTAAATTGAGGTAATATTTCACTATGACTGGAATCAGTTTTAAATCAGGAATTTATTATTCAATAATTTAAAGGGGTCATATGATGTTGCTAAAAAGAACATTATTTTTGTGTATTTGGTGAAACGTGTTGATTTTTACAAAACTCATCGGTCTGAAAAGCGAGGTGTGCTCTGATTGGCCAGCTATCCAGTGTGTTGTGATTGGCCGAATACCTCAAGCGTGTGACGGAAATGTTACGCCCCTTAAAGGGATGGTTCATTGCGATTTCACTTTTTTAGCGTGATGAACTGTTACAATTATACACTTATTTTCACATAGCTATGAGAAGCGTTAAACATGGACGAGCATGCAGTTGCCGTACTGTATTAAAGCTTTAATCAGGGTAAAACCGTATATTAAAAGCTAACATAAGTAGTAGCATTTACAAATAACAGCATATCTAAAAGTATGAGACAACAACAAACAAAAAACATAGGCCTACCATTAAAAGCCGTGCTTGCACAGGTTCTGCACGATCCTCTTCAATAATGTCCTCTGCTTCTCAATTGGGCTCAAACTGATAAGCGATATTAACGATGCACACACTAGAGGCGGTTTAACCAATCACAACACACTGGGCTAGCTAACCAATCAGAGCCCATCGCCTATTTCTGAGGGAGGGGCTTCATAAAAGAAGGAAATGATCAGCCCGTGGACAGAGAGGTGTGGAATAAAGGTAAATTATGTGAAAAATAATGCTTTTTTTTTAAACGAAGCGTTAACACATGTTAGACTGCACCCCATAAACACAATCAAGCCTAGAAAAAACCCAGTGAACCACCCCTTTAACATACTGTGAAGCCGTGGCCTGGTGCGACGAGACAAAACAAATAAAACCCATTATAAACGAGGCATTTGTTGCATCCAGTGGGGACATAATTATGGATTATAATGACTTATATTGTCTTTTTATGCGTTGCATTGCATCGCGCCGCGTAAACATAAACCCATGTCTGCATTTGTGATCGGAGAAACGACAAACAACAAGCACTACTCTACACTGCTCAAAACTCACGTTTGAATCATCAGTGGCAAATCCTTTAAATATGAAAACGTACTTACAGTCTATGAGTCAGAACTGCCGGCATTGTAGTCTACTCTCCCAGGATCAGGAAAGTCCTCCATAAAATGTGCTGCACACATCTGAATATTTGAGTTGAACTGTTCTGGAACAGTGTTGTAAATACAACTTAACCACTGATTTCTAGTCGTGTCCTCTTTTGGATGGCCAAACAAAGTATTTTCGCTTTCGCAACGAAACACAGCATCTTCACAACATGGCAGCGGCGGTGGCAGCAACAATAAAGTTACGCCTTCTTTCTTTGCGTGAACATTTGGGCGGTGTTATGCAAATCTTCCTTAACTTTGCTTGTCTTAACTTTGATTAAGAATATCTCTTTGGGTTAGAGACTTTAGTCTTTGCAACTTTAGGGATCTTATCAATTCACAAACTGCTTGTAAGACTCCAAAGAGAAAGGAAAACTTGAAATCACATCATATGACCCCTTTAAATAAAATAAAATCTTTATATGAATTTATTGCATTTTCCAAGCCTTACTTTTCACCCTAAAGGTTAATCCTCATTTTTATGCATGTAATAATTCCTTCATATAATGTACTCCATTTCTGCTCTGTGCAACAGCAAACTCAGGCTCTCTTCAAGGGCCGCAGACTCCTCAATCTACAGGCAGCAGCACTATGACAGAGATGCCAGGAGACCTAAAGCCACCAACACCAGCTACCACACCCCACGGACAAGTGACCCCTCAGCCAACTGGCAGGTGGGCTACATTGGTGCATTATATTTTAATGTCCGTTACTCATGTATGTGTGTCTATGTATTGATTTGTTGTCCTTGTTTTATACCACGTCTTTAGAAACAGTGGTGTTAGTGTACAAGATCCATTCTCTGAAAGCAGCGACCCAGCCTTTCAAAAGCGAGGCCCCATGCATGGAGGAGGCAGTGTAGATGCCACCTCTAGAATGGCGTTTGACACCAGTAAGGATCCCTATGGAGCTGCCAGGAAAGGTGTGTTGCTATTACAATTACCGCATATGGGGCTGGTTTCACATTCCTTCTGTCTGCTCACTGCTGCCTCCATGTGTCTTCCTTTTTTAAGAGATGCATATTCATTATTTTCTTGGACACTGCTGCCATCTAGTGTCTGCAGGTTAAAGCCAGCATGAAATCAAAATGGGCCTAGTTTACTTTTTAATCTTTACTACTATAAAAGTATTAGTGAATTCATTTCATGCCTCGAGCCCTTTTTCTTTTACCATTTGTAATGGAGCCATGAAAATATTGAGTAATTCAGCTCCACAGCCATATCACCCTGCAGCCCAAGACTGGTTGCCCACTGAAGCTAAGCTGGGTTGAACCTGGTAAGTACCTGGATGGGAGACCTCCTGGGAAAACTAGGTTGCTGTTGGAAGAGGTGTTAGTGAGGCCAGCAGGGGGTGCTCACCCTGTAGTCTGCGTGGGTCCTAACGCCCCAGTATAGTAATGGGGACACTATACTGTCAAAAAGCACCGTCTTTCGGATGAGATGTTAAACCGAGGTTCTGACTCTCTGTGGTCATTAAAAATCCCATGGCACTTCTCGTAAAGAGTAGGGGTGTAACCCCGGTGTCTTGGCCAAATTGCCCCCCTGGCCTTTGTCAATCATGGCCTCCTAATAATCCCCATCCACTTGATTGGCTCTATGACTCTCTCGCCTCTCCACCTGTAGCTGGTGTGTGGTGAGCGCACTGGCGCCGCTGTCCTGTGGCTGTCGTCGCATCATCCAAGTGGATGCTGCACACTGGTGGTGGTTGAGGAGAGACCCCCCCCCCCCACGATTGTAAAGCGCTTTGGGTGTACAACAATACACAATAAAGCGCTATATAAATGCATCATTCATTCATTCATTCAGCTTCATTTTTCCATCTGTGTTAGAAATTGTTTTTATTTCAGTTTACAAAAAAGTTTTGTTTTTTTATAACAATATTAACACATCTACAAACTGGGATAAAATTCTAGCTCCATTCTGATATGGAACAAGCTCTTTTCACAATCTACAAAATACCCAGTGGATAAAAGTTATGTCCTACATTTTTATCTCATTGAATGTTCTGTTTCAAAGAATATTCTGACATTGGAAGTATGTTGTGGGTTGTGAATACTCTTTCATGTTTTTTTAGTTTTGCACATTTTTTATTTTTCTTGCAGTTTAAAGTGTTAATTTGTTTTCAGGTGGCTCTGAGCCCTTTATGCCAGGGCAGATGCCAGGCAGCAGCATGCAGGATATGTATCCACGTGGACCGCCCTCAGGCATGGGTATGGGCCCACGACCCCAGTACTCCTACAACCCTGGTTTTGAGAGGAGGTAAGCCAGAACATCTTAAAGTCAGTTTATTAACTGGATAAAATCAGTGCAGAAATTAAAATCAGCATGTCAACCATTATTTAATGTTTATGTTCACAGGCCAGAGCATGTCATGGGTCCAGAGGGGGGAATTGGCCCCCCTGGAAATCAGAACAACATGGTGCTTTCCAACAGTGATCCCAGCATGTTCTCAGGCAGTAGATACGTCTCTCATCAGAGGTAAGAAATGACTGCTGTTGACTAGTGTATGAGAATGTATTTGGTGTGTAGAGCTATAGTGTAGTATTTTCTGTTTTACTGTAGACATGGACATGAAGGCTATGGGCAGCAGTACCCTCACAGTATGCCATATGGCGCACATGGGATGTATGCCCAACAGCAGGTCAGACATCAAATGTGATCAAATTTCATCCCTCTTTGTGTTTGTGATGACATTCCATTTCATTGTGGTAAATATTTGTGATTACTGCACTATTTTAACTTTATTTACTTGCAGGGTTATAAGCGGCCTGGGGAAGGGATGTATGGCCCTCCTGCTAAGCGCCATGAGAGTGAAACCTATAGTATGCAGTACGGTGGCCAGCAGCCTGACATGTATAGCCAATATGGTTACCCAGAGCGTAGGCCCATGCAAAGCCCGTTCCCCTATCCATATGGACGCGATCGCATGCAGCCAGGTGGGCAGGGACCTTCTCAGCACAGCATGATGAGTGGTGGACCACCCCCATCCTCCAACTCCAGTGGTGGGCCTCAGGGGAACATGTGGCACACCAGGCATGACATGAGTTACCCTTACCCCGGCCGGCAGGGTCATGGGCCCCCCTACACCTCCATGAGCCGTGGAGATGATCCAGAAGTCAGGGCCAGTCTGGACAATCAGTGGCCTGGTCAGCGTCAATCCCCCTACCCACCACACTCTTCGTCCTCCGCCAGCTCCATGCCCCCCATGGCTAGCCGGCAACCACCTTCTTCCTACCAGTCTCCTCCAGCAATGCCAAACCATATCTCTCGAGTCCCGAGCCCTGCACCATTCCCTCGGTCTGTGGGTGGCTCTATGTCACCCAATAAGGCTCATATGATGGCCTCTATGAAGCAGATGCAAAAGCCGGGTGGCCCAGGGTCCATGCCAAGCTCTCAAACTGGTGGTCATCCTGGGCAAGGCTTCCCAGCAATCCATCGGGAGGTCACTTACCCATTAGACTCTGTGGAGGGAACGCAGCCTCAGCTTAAACCCCGACGAAGGTTAACATCCAAAGAAATTGGTAAGAAGTTCTCTTCCAGTAATAAACAACTTCTAAATGGTATGGTTATGACAAGGTTCTAACTCTGCTCATGTATCTTAAGGCACACCAGAGGCTTGGCGTGTAATGATGTCCCTGAAGTCTGGTTTGCTTGCTGAGAGCACATGGGCCCTAGACACAATAAACATCTTGCTATATGATGACAACACAGTGCCTTCCTTTGGCTTATCTCAGGTGAGTGTGTACCAAGCACTAATGTGTTGTAAGACTTGGGTTCAGAGGGCAGGAAATGATTGCAAATGTCTTACATGCTTTTGAAATTTTGTGGTCGTATTTTAATAGCAGTTTCTGAGAAATGATTGGTGTATATACTTTGATAATGAATGGTTATATATATTGATAATATTGGGTTTTGTGTCTTTTCCTTGTCTAGTTGCCTGGTTTCTTGGAGCTCATTGTTGAATATTTCAGAAGGTGCTTAATAGAGATCTTTGGGATCCTCGAGGAATATGAAGTCGGAACAGAGGGTCAGAAAACTCTTCTTGGTCCATGTTCGGAACCCACAGAAAAAAAGCAACCTTCCAATCAAGACCTAAAAAGCCAATCCAATACAGAACAGGTGGAGAGATTAGATGTGGAGCCTGAGAAACCTCAACCCAGCAGCTCAGCAGCAGCACTTAATATGGAGAAAAGGGAAGACTCTGCAGAAAGTAAGGCCGACGAAAAGAACACTGGTAAAGAACCATGTCCTCCAGTGGAGCCCAGACCCAAGCAAGCCAGTAAGTATGACAAACTCCCAGTGAAAGTTGAGGAGAGAGAGGCTGTGGCTGATTGTGTGGAGGATCGATCAGAGCTGCTAGGCCTGGCCGGGGAGTTCACCAGTGGGCTTCTGCATTGGAAGGCAGGTGGAGGGGACTCTACTGCCCACATCCAGACCCATTTCGAGAGACGTAGGGAAGAAGAACAGAAGCCTTCAGAGAATCAGGAAGGTGTACAGGCTCCTGGAAAAGAAACGGTTGAAGAGGAGCACGGGAGGGAAGAGGAACTGAAGAGAGAACTTCCAGGGCCCTCAGAGGAAACCTTGACAGCCACTGTGGATGACATGCTAAGTTCTCGTCCAGGGTCCCTATCAGAGGGCGAAACTCAGACATTCCCCTTCCGCAGCAGAGAGAAACAGAGTGGCATTACTTTGCTGGAAGATGAGCCCCGATGCTGGGATGAAGCACCTCTTTCAGTAGCCGAGGGCTGGCAAGATGAGTTGGCCAAGCGCTGCATCTGTGTGTCCAATATCATTCGTGGACTCTCCTTTGTCCCGGGCAATGACAGCGAATTGGCTCGGCACCCAGGTTTAGTGCTCATTCTTGGAAAACTTGTGCTTTTGCACCATGAGCACCCTAAAAGAAAAAGGATGCCACCTACCTACCAGCGAGAGGAAGAGCGAGGTCTGGCTTGCAGCAAGGATGAATGGTGGTGGGACTGCCTTGGTGCCTTGCGTGAGAACACCTTGGTCACCCTTGCCAACATTTCAGGACAGCTAGACCTGTCTATCTATCCAGAAAGTATCTGCCTTCCAATTCTGGATGGGCTTCTCCACTGGATGGTGTGCCCTTCGGCGGAGGCCCAGGACCCTTTTTGCACGGCAAATGGCTTCTCCTCGCTCACACCGCAGAGGCTGGTGCTGGAGTGTCTGTGCAAACTGAGCATCCAAGACTCTAATGTTGACCTTCTGCTGGCCACACCCCCTTTTAGCAGACAGGAGCGCCTCTTTGCCACATTAGTGAGGCATGTTGGTGAGCGAAAGAGTCAGGTGTGCCGTGAGATGGCAGTAGCCATTCTCTCCAATCTTGCACAGGGTGACCCAACAGCTGCCCGAGCCATTGCCCTGCAGAAGGGCAGTGTGGGAGCCTTGATAAATTTCCTAGAGGACAGTGTTGCCATGGCACAGTATCAGCAGAGCCCTCACAGTCTCTTGCACATGGGACATGCCACCCATCCCGAGCCGCCCAGCATCAACATGATGTGCCGGGCCGCCAAAGCCCTGCTGGCCATGGCCCAAGTGGAGGAGAACAGGCCTGAGTTTGTGCTCTACGAGAGCAGGCTTCTTGATATCTCGCTGTCCTCCGTGCTGAACTCTGGTGTGGCGGTCATCCTGTGTGAGGTACTGTTTAAGCTCGGCCGCTCGTGACAGGCACAAAGGAGCAGGAGCCTAGAGTGCCATCATGGGAACGTACAGTACGGCTGAGCTGAGCCACAGAGATCACACAGAACTGTCGGTGTTATATTTTTATTTAAGGGAAAGAACACAAACAAAAATCGTTTTTACATACAAATGAATATATAGAGAATATATATAGCTCCTCTGCCCCATTTCCCAGTTTTCATTTTGGATTTTTAAATGATTTTAATACAGATATTTAATACTTGGTCTTTGTTTTGTTTTCTATTCTTTTTTTATTTGTTTCGTTTTGTTTCATGTGTATTTTCTTTTATTTGTTTTAACCAAAGTTGGCATCTGATACCGTTAGTTTTTAGAGTATTTTGCTCAGAATGTTTTTAATGCAGTGTTTCGTTTGTTTTCTTGTGGGACTTTGTTTATTCGGGGAATGCAGATTTATTTAAATTGTGAGACATGTTGTAGATAGAATTTCTCTTGCAATGTGTTGCGATCAAAGAACAAAAAACAAAACAAAAAATGATTTTAAGACATACATGTATACAGCTCTGAAAAAAGCATTGTGCAATAGATTTAGCTGGCTCAGAGGGGAGATAATGAAATGTGAATGACCACCAGTATTGCACTGTTTCACCACACCAGTATCTGAGGGTCAAGCGAGTATTGGTTCTAAACTGACTTGCTTCCATATTAGTGCAGCCACAGAGGGTCCTCTCAAAACTCAAAGTGCTTCGGTTACCCCTCTTCTCTATTCTATACCCACCGGTCGATATGTATATAAGAACTGTACATTAAATGGGCCTCTTTTCACATTTTTTTTTTCTCCAAGAGATGTGGTATTATACAAAGTGAGTAGTTTATGCTACATGCTATTGACATTTTGAAAATTAATATTAAGTCTTGAAACATGTAAGGGGCCGTTCACTCAGGGTGGGTTCTTGCATTTGATCTGCGCTATTTTTATTTAATTGTTGGTCATATGTGCACATGCCCAACAGACATCTTTGGTGGTTGTGATGATGCACTGGTGTCTTTCAAGACGCTGTTGAAGTTGAAATGCATATTTTGAAACGCTGCAAAGCTGGCTTTACAACAATGGACCATTCAGCTGAATTTGGGTGCTGAAAAAGCATCTCCAGTGGATCGAACATGCATATTAGCAACTGTATATGGGAATGCATAAACACGCCTGTTCAGTTCCGAAGGATGCAAGAATTTGTCCTGTGTGAACGAACGCCCCCAAAGACTTTCCTGTGTGTCCTATAATAGAGTTCTGTGTGCCAGAGATAGCTGTGGCTCCCTCTAATGGCCTTAGAGTTTGGAAATTACAAGCTAACTGAAAGACGTCTGATGGAATAAATGTAATTCAATGTGAACGTTACCCCAAAACGACTTAATGATTTTAACAAAAAATATGTACAACTCTTTATGTAAGCTCTTTTTGCTCCATATGATTTGATGACCATTGTTTATTCAGTATAAAGTCTTCATACATGTTCCACATGTTAAAAGTAAATGTACATGAAATTTGGTCGAGCACTGTGAACGTCGTTTTTCAGTGGTGTTATTTTTTTTCGTGTCGGTGCCCAAAAAAAATTCTTTATTTATCCTCAATATTGTAATATTTAAAAAGCAAAAGACGGCGTTTCCTGGCAGTTAAGGTTAATGGGTTCTTGTTAACGTTCTGGTTAACGTTTTTTTCCTGTCTATCCAGTGCTCTGTGCTGCTTCTGTCACATCCACAGTTTAACCAGATTACACGACCCTAAATGCATAGAAAACGCTCACACTGACGCACACTGATGCAAGACTGTCGTTCTGTAGCTGTTCTTCAGTCACTGCAGGGCACATGTTTTCATCCTCTGTCCCTTGAAGCTTTTATTAGACCTTGTCATCACATGATGCCACTTTAACACAGTGGCTGCTTTAGTTTGATATTTAATGTATAAACACCACCAGCCAAAGGGCAGTAATATTTGCTAGGCCCACACAAATGTGCCAAAAGTATGGTTGCCAAAAAAAGAAAGAAAGCTAATTAAATAACTGAGATAGTACAGTACGTACAAACATAAAACTTCCACACTTGTGACTGCAAGTGCAGAGTCAAATGTCTCATGGCTCAGGCTGTGAAAAATCCAGTGTGGCACAAGAAATTGAGACAAACAACCATGTTGAATTGTCCAGGCCTTCATCGAGGCATTTTCCAGTGCTGTGACCTCAAACTTGATACTGGATCTAAAATTGGCTGTTTGAACCGACTGGTTGCCTCACACTTAACCAGACTGACCATCTGATAAATAATCTTTCCAGGCAGTCAGTTAAGGTTGTGCATTCTTGATAATGGACTGTAATTGTTTCTCATTTTGACTTGAAGATGGAATTCCAGTCAAATGGAGCAGAATTCTCTTGAGCCTCTTCCTTTTTGGGAATGGCGGGGAAAATGGACTGCATTTTCTGACGAAATTCCTTCCGCTGCAATACAGAAATGATTTGTATCAAACAGTAGTTGCAGATTATAGTGAGAAGTAAGTAAGTGAAAGTGGGCACATGGCATTTAAAGGGGTCATATGATACGATTTCAATTTTTCCTTTCTCTTTGGAGTGTTACAAGCTCTTGGTGCATAAAGGAGATCTGTAAAGTTGCAAAGACTAAAGTCTCAAATCCAAAGAGATATTCTTTATAAAAGTTAAGAGTCAACCACACCTACCTAAAACGGCTCGTTCTAACACGCCCCCACATACCTATGTCACTATGTGGGAAGATTTGCATAACACCTCCCAAATGTTCACGCAAAGAAAGAAGGCGTAACTTTGATTCTCGCTGTAGTATTGTTGCCGCCGCTGCCATGTTGTGGAGTCACTGTGTGTTTCGTTGTGAAAGTGAAACTACTTTGTTTGGTCTTCCAAAAGAGGACATGACTAGAAATCAGTGGTTAAGTTGTATTTACAACACTGTTCCAGAACAGTTCAACCCAAATATTCAGATGTGTGCAGCACATTTTATTGAGGTCTGTTTCCTGAACCAGTAGCCTAATGCGTCTGTGGCACAAAGACTGTTTCTATGAAGTTGGGCAGTTCCAACTTTGCAAGGACAGTCTGGCGCATCTGACTCACAGACTGTAAGTACGTTTTTTATATTTAAATGATTCAAACGCGAGTTTTGAGCAGTGTAGAGTAGGGCTTGTTGTTTGTCATTTCTCCGATCACAAATGCAGACATGGTTTTATGTTTACGCGGCGCGATGCAACGCAACTCATAAAAAGACAGTATAAGTCATTATAATCAGTAATTATGTCCCCACTGGATGCAACGAATGCCTCGTTTGTAATGGGTTTTATTGGTTTTGTCTCGTCTAGTGATGACCGGTCAAACCAGTTCACCAAATCGAACTGAATCGTTTGAAACGCGTCTCCAGTACGCACTAATCCACAAATTACTTAAGTTATTCGGTTTATAAACGTGCCTGACACTCCCTCTGACTCGAAATAAACCAATATCCCGAGTTATTCCTAACAGTACATGACTGAACTGCTAAAAGAGAACCGATGGGATGAGCACGAGCAGAGTAGCTCGACTGAGTCTCGTCCTGCTGGGAGACAGTATCACAGTATGGTGAGGGGCGTAACATTTACATCACACGCTTGAGGTATTCGGCCAATCACAACACACTGGATAGCTGGCCAATCAGAGCACACCTTGCTTTTTTAGAATGATGAGCGTTTCAGAAAGGCGGAGCATAGAGGAGAAACAATCATGTACATTATATGGAAAATAATGTGTTTTTTTAACCTTAAACTGCATAAACACATTGCATTACTCCAAATACACAAAATAATGTTCTTTTTAGCAACCTCATATGACCCCTTTAAAACCATCACTTTAAGCAGGTACGCACGCTGTGGATGCCTAGAGCCTTCCAAACGGTGAAGCTCAGGAGACCAACCCCACACCAGGCATAAAGGGAGCCCCATCCCAACGCCCGCAACGCTAACGACGCACCGCTTTCTGGCACCGCAGCAGTTCCTATTACACCCTGAGCACATCAAGAGGAAAAGAGGGTCATTTACTGCAGATATTGTACTGAAGTATTTTGTTCAGTATGCTTACACTTAGCTACAAATGTATATTATATTACTAAATACTACTTTGGGTCAAATGAGACACCGTTCAGAAGCCATTTTACTTCTGTAGTCTGGTGCATTATAAAGTGAAACAGGAAAACGTAAGAAAGGACCTTGATTTGATCTATCAGGCTTTAATTAGATCATGGAAATTGAGAACTAATTGATTCATAACATCCGAACAGGAAGTCATTTCAAAGGAAGAACACATTGCTTTGTTTTGGAAAAAGATTACAAAAACATTTTTTTTTTCTTTGCAGTAACAGACACGGATTACATTTTCCGTGCATTCAAATGTGCATTAAAAAGTAAGGACTGAGCTTCACAAAACCCCATTTGTTCTCAGATTTCAAGAATAAAAAGCCTCGAACACAACTACTACCACACTTCTATAATAATCCTCCAAAATATAAAAGGTTTAAAAATATATATTTTTCAGAGGGGAAAAACAACAACAGATAAGTTACACTGGTGTACAAGTATAATATACAGGTATGCATTTATTTTATTCAGAAATAATGTAAAATACAGGTAAACAAAACTATTACAAACACTATAAATGTATATTAGCTCTACAACACTATTCAGAACAGATATAAAAAATATAGTTTAAGTATAAAACAAACAATACTGGGATTATAAACAGCATTACTTATACATGCCAGACAAACACATTTAAAGAGAATCAAACTACTACGTTCCTTCAGAATAAAAGTAGCAGCACGTTTCAGAAGAAAAAAAACAATGTATTTATGAATTGCACAAAATAAGATCAGAAACGTAGTTTATTAAGAAAGTAAATAGGGACGGTTTTGATTTCATGTTGACTTTAGTAACCAAGTAGTTCGTGTACGCAAGTCTCAAACAGATGCAGCCACCGCTAATGACATTAACATTGTCTTAATGTGATTTAGTGTTTTTAGTGCTCTACATATTAGATTTGCTCTTATTAGAGCTTACATTGTAGCAGCCATCGAGGAACGTGCTCTAGAAACAGTCATGATAAATACTTGACAGCTAAAGATACTGATATAATCATTATAACTATTATAATGATTTAACTAAATTATTTATACATTCTGTATTGATATATATATATATATAGTGATTTTTCTTTTTTTACGCGAGTAGTACTTGCCTATGCAAAACTGCCCACCCTTCAATTTGTATGACATATGTGACCCTGGACCACAAAACCAGTCATAAGTGTCAATTTCTCGAAATTGAGCTTTATACATCATCTGAAATCTGAATAAGTAAGCTTTCCATTGATGTATGGTTTGTTAGGATAGGACAATATTTGGCCCAGATACAACTATTTGAAAATCTGGAATCTGAGGGTAAGGCGGAGCATAGAGGAGAAACAATCATGTACATTATATGGAAAATAATGTGTTTTTTTAACCTTAAACTGCATAAACACATTGCATTACTCCAAATACACAAAATAATGTTCTTTTTAGCAACCTCATATGACCCCTTTAAAACCATCACTTTAAGCAGGTACGCACGCTGTGGATGCCTAGAGCCTTCCAAACGGTGAAGCTCAGGAGACCAACCCCACACCAGGCGTAAAGGGAGCCCCATCCCAACGCCCGCAACGCTAACGACGCACCGCTTTCTGGCACCGCAGCAGTTCCTATTACACCCTGAGCACATCAAGAGGAAAAGAGGGTCATTTACTGCAGATATTGTACTGAAGTATTTTGTTCAGTATGCTTACACTTAGCTACAAATGTATATTATATTACTAAATACTACTTTGGGTCAAATGAGACACCGTTCAGAAGCCATTTTACTTCTGTAGTCTGGTGCATTATAAAGTGAAACAGGAAAACGTAAGAAAGGACCTTGATTTGATCTATCAGGCTTTAATTAGATCATGGAAATTGAGAACTAATTGATTCATAACATCCGAACAGGAAGTCATTTCAAAGGAAGAACACATTGCTTTGTTTTGGAAAAAGATTACAAAAACATTTTTTTTTTCTTTGCAGTAACAGACACGGATTACATTTTCCGTGCATTCAAATGTGCATTAAAAAGTAAGGACTGAGCTTCACAAAACCCCATTTGTTCTCAGATTTCAAGAATAAAAAGCCTCGAACACAACTACTACCACACTTCTATAATAATCCTCCAAAATATAAAAGGTTTAAAAATATATATTTTTCAGAGGGGAAAAACAACAACAGATAAGTTACACTGGTGTACAAGTATAATATACAGGTATGCATTTATTTTATTCAGAAATAATGTAAAATACAGGTAAACAAAACTATTACAAACACTATAAATGTATATTAGCTCTACAACACTATTCAGAACAGATATAAAAAATATAGTTTAAGTATAAAACAAACAATACTGGGATTATAAACAGCATTACTTATACATGCCAGACAAACACATTTAAAGAGAATCAAACTACTACGTTCCTTCAGAATAAAAGTAGCAGCACGTTTCAGAAGAAAAAAAACAATGTATTTATGAATTGCACAAAATAAGATCAGAAACGTAGTTTATTAAGAAAGTAAATAGGGACGGTTTTGATTTCATGTTGACTTTAGTAACCAAGTAGTTCGTGTACGCAAGTCTCAAACAGATGCAGCCACCGCTAATGACATTAACATTGTCTTAATGTGATTTAGTGTTTTTAGTGCTCTACATATTAGATTTGCTCTTATTAGAGCTTACATTGTAGCAGCCATCGAGGAACGTGCTCTAGAAACAGTCATGATAAATACTTGACAGCTAAAGATACTGATATAATCATTATAACTATTATAATGATTTAACTAAATTATTTATACATTCTGTATTGATATATATATATATATAGTGATTTTTCTTTTTTTACGCGAGTAGTACTTGCCTATGCAAAACTGCCCACCCTTCAATTTGTATGACATATGTGACCCTGGACCACAAAACCAGTCATAAGTGTCAATTTCTCGAAATTGAGCTTTATACATCATCTGAAATCTGAATAAATAAGCTTTCCATTTATGTATGGTTTGTTAGGATAGGACAATATTTGGCCGAGATACAACTATTTGAAAATCTGGAATCTGAGGGTGCAAAAAAATCTAAATATTGAGAAAATCATCTTTAAAGTTGTCCAAATGAAGTTCTTAGCAATGCATATTACTATTTAAAAATTAAGTTTTGACATATTTACGGTAGGAAATTTACAAAATATCTTGATGGAACATGATCTTAATATCCTAATGATTTTTGGCATAAAAGAAAAAACGATAATTTCGACCCATACAATGTATTTTTGGCTATTGCTACAAATATACCCCAGCGACTTAAGACTGCTTTTGTGCTCCAGGGTCACAAATATGACTCGAGTCCCTCCATCAGTGCAAGCTTACGAGAGCTTTCTGTCTGCCTGGCAAAATCTACAAGTCTAATCACTTAGGAAACAAATTATAAAGTAATCCACATCTATCCCCAACAAGCTACACATTTTGAGGTATCATCTACGTCCATATCGCAAACACCGTGGGACAAGTTGATACTGTGCCGAAGTGATACTGCCCTGAGAGGACACAAGTCTAGTCAAGTGATTTGTCATTACAGGAACTGGGCAAGACGCATGATCCGTCGCGTCACTGACCTCATATTGGATTTAGCCACTTAAAAAGCATTTTTGGCAAGATGCGTGTTTACTGATGAGGCGGTGGCCTAAAAATAGCAATGCAAAAACAACAACAAAAAAAGAGTACAAAGAGGCTACTGTTCATCTCTGAGTTTATGATCAAAATAAGTTCGATGTCAGCATTTACGCAATGTCTAATTCTGTGAAGTTAGCAGACATGAGCCAGCCATGCTCTACTGATCAGATCAATACCAGAACAGAAAACAGCTTCCAAGAATGATTTCTGTAAGAAGAGCAGCACTATGATGTCACAGTTTCTATATATACAGTATATATATTTAGAATATATACACTACCAGTCAAAAGTTTGGGATCAGAATGATTTTTAATGTTTTTTTTTTACAGGAGTTTCTTATGCTCATCAAGGCTGCATTTATTTGATTAAAAATACAGGAAAAAATGTAATATTGTGAAATATTATTATGATGTAAAATAACGTTTTTCTATTTTAATATGCATTAAAATGTAATTTATTTGTGTGATGCACAGCTGAATTTTCAGCATTACTCCAGTCAGTGTCACATGATCTTCAGAAATCATTCTAATATTCTGATTTATTATCAGTGCTGGAAACTGATGCTGCTTCATATTTTTTTTGGAATCTGTGATACTTTTTTCAGGACTGTTTGATGAATAAAAAGTTAAAAAGAAGACCATTTATTTAAAATAGAAATGTTTTCTAACAATATACACTACAGTTCAAAAGTTTGGGGTCAGTACATTTTTATTCTTTCTTTTTTTTTTTGAAAGAAATGAAAACTTTTATTCAGCAAAGATGTGTTAAATTCTCAAGAAGTGATAGCAAAGATTTATATTGTTAGAAAAGATTTATATGCTGTTCTTTTAAACTTTTTATTCATCAAAGAATCCTGAAAAAAGTATCGCAGTTTCCAAAAGAAAAAAAGATTTGGCAGCACATCCGTTGCCAACATTGATCATTCTAATAATAAATCAGCATATTAGAATGATTTCTGTAGGATCATGTGACACTTTATACTGGAGTAACGATGATGGAAATTCAGCTTTGCATCACAGAAATAAATTATATTTTAAAGGATATTAAAATGGAAACCGTTATTTTACACTGTAATAACATTTTGCAAGATTACGTTTTTTTTCTGTATTTTTGATCAAATAAATGCAGCCTTGATGAGCATAAGAGACTTGTTTAAAAACATTACAAGTCTTACTGATCCCAAACGTTTGAGCGGCAGTGTATATTTTTTGACAAATATTGCTATTGCATTTTGAACTGAGACGAGATAAACATCTAATATTTTGCTCACATACTGAACTAAGATCTCAGTTTTCTTTGCATTCTTATTATTGCAGATATTAATAATAATAATTAAAATGTTTAATTGAAATGCCACTTAATTATGACAGTGTCACTTTTCATTTATACTTTTTTAGAACAATGTCGAGTTGACCATTACTGTTAATAATAACAAGAATGTTTATTCTACTTAATTGTAGAATTTTTTCTTTATTGTTCTTAATTAAGACAGTGTCATTTTTTTGGTAACACTTTATAATAAGGTTCATTAGTTAACATGAGCAATACAGCATTTATTCATCGTAGTTAATGATATTTTCAAAATGTACTAATGCATTATTAAAATCAAAAGTTATGCTTGATAACATCAGTTAATGCACTGTGAATTAACATAACCTAACAATGTATAAACGACTGTATTTTCATTAACTAACATTAATAAATGTATTGTTCGTCATGTTAGTTAATGCATTAACTAATGGAACCTTATTATAAAGTGTTACCCGTTTTTCATTTACACTTTCTTTGGAACACTATCAAGTTATTATTGAAAAAAAAACAACGAATAATAACATAAGAAACTGTTTTACAATGGAAATATATTTCTGTTACGATTTCTTCGCTTTTATATGTCAAAAACCCAAAGAAAGACCTCTGATTTCCAGTGTTTAGTTGATGCACAATTCTAAATGTTAGTCCTGGACTGCAGAGGATCTTGATACCTTATGAAACCAGCCAGGACTCTTCTTCTTAGCCATGGCAAGGGTGGACCCGAACCCTGCGATCATACCTGCTGTGGATACAGTAGTGAGGAAAACACCACCTGAATAAAAGGACAATAAACAACACACCGAGGTGAACATTTTCAAGGAACATTCGCAGTATGAACATGCTGTCGATAACACCGTCTGCTTCAACAGCATGTCTGGACAATAATATATATTGTTATAATCAGTGTTGGGGAAAGTTACTTTTAAAAGTAATGTATTACAATATCGCGTTACACCGTAAAAAAGTAACGAATTACGTTACTTAGTTACTTTTTATGGAAAGTAGTGCGTTGCGCTACTTTTGCGTTACTTTTTGTGTGTACTTTTTGCTTGCTTGTTTGTTTTTAAAATAAAAAAGTTATATTTTTTGCTAATATAAAAGCAAAAGTGAAAGCCTCAGGCTGAAGGGAAAGTAAAGTTACGTCCGTACAGTAGAATGCAGTTAGAAAAACACTTCAGCAATAAACAAAGACACAAATGTTTGTCTAGAGTAATTTTGGCTTAGGAAGGACGTTTTTAGCGTTATGTTCCAAATGTTTGGAGTTGGTCTGGTTTCAACGCAGCGCTTCTGAACCGCAATAACGGGGTTGCAAGCTTTAAGACGCCCAGCAGACAAAGCGACATTTCTGGGCATGATGTCCACATGCCTCTGTGTCCTGGAGCGCGTCCTGGAGCGCATCCTGTTGTGTAGAGGATACATGATCTGCAATGAAGGAGTTATCCAAACAAACATGTAAACCAGACAACGCGGAGCGTATTCCTTTCCCATCGTGTCGGATGCAAATAGTAGCATTTTTAATGTAATGCAATTAAAACCTTGCAGATTTCATTAAAACATGGAGATAAGAAAATGGTTCCTTGGTTACAGTTCCACGCTTTTCTTTGACTGGGTTGTGTAATGCTTCCTCCATCAGATCAGAGATGTTTCTGCAAGATCCAACTGTCTCCTTAGTTCCTTGAGGACATTTGAATTCTGATTCCCTTGTTTTGTTTTATTGCTGGTTGGTAAATGACAGGCAACATGCATCTTGGGGTTGAGGAGCCCATCCGAGAGTGCCAGTACAATCAGATCTGCACACATAACTCCTCACCCATGGACACTCCACACACCAAGAAGAAGAAGATCAAAAGGAAATGGCAGGTTTTTCAAGGACGAAATAAGTTTTACTGCAACGGGCGGATCATGATGGCAAAGCAGACTGGGGTCTTCTATCTTACCATGGTTCTCATTTTGGTGACCAGTGGGCTCTTCTTTGCCTTTGAGTAAGTACATTGCCCTACTGGAGAACTAAGTATCTCCTCTGCATCCCAGACACTACGTTTTTTAGGTTTGTCTTTATGCACACTTTCAAAAATAAAAGGTTCATTGGCATCAGTGGTTCCATAAAGAACCTTAAACATCCATGATGGGGCCTTTCCATTGCTCAAAGGGTTCTAAGAAAGAGTTTTTTCACACTAATTAAAAAAATGTTTCTTTTAGGAACCCAAAATGATTATTTAATGGCATTGCCGCGAGAAAAAAAAAAGACTTAAGAGTGTTCCATAAGAAAAGACCTATTCCTTGAAGGACCTCGGAGGAATTGGTAAATACCATGATATGTGAATACAGAAATCAAGCTGATCACCAGTTACCATCACTACAGTTCTGTTTTGTGTTTGAGTTTGAAGTGATTGTCATGATCACTAATGATGAAGTCCAAAATGGGTAGTCCCACATTCCATCCCACATTCATAAAAGTACAGGGCCGTCCTTAGGGGGGGTGCAACTGGTGCGGTCGCACTGGGCGACCGCGGCGAATGGAACATGATCGTGAACGGACCAAGGGGGGCCCCGCTCCCTACCTCGCACCGGGCCCCACGTCGGCTAAGAACGGCCCTGTAAAAGTATATGCAAATTTGATCTTAGAGACTAGATTTGACAAGTCTGTGTAGGTCCCTCTTCTTGTATTTTCCAGATATCTCTTGATAAAGACAGCTGAATGTGGTCTGGGATCCTGAAGAGCAGTTCCACTCAAACCAGTGCACTAATTTCGGCCCTCTCACTAACACTGAAGGCTATTTACAAGTGGTAAATCTGGTGTAATAGAATTACTTCAGTCCACGTAACTTCACTGCAGCTGTAAGCAACTCCTTGTCTTTGTAGGTCAGGTGAAGTTGAACTAACCCAGTGTCGAAATATCTTCCAAAGATCTTCAGACAAGAGAGCTTTTTGGGGGGTTACAGTTTAAAACGCATATCAGGTGGTACGAAACTGACGTGCTCTGCATTACTCGAAGCATGTTTGCCTGTAAGCCGCCGCTGGTTGTTCGAGAATCTCTCGGGTGTGATCCTGAGGAGGCTGCTTTGGATGAGGGATGTGTGGAGCAGATTTTCCGGTGTCCCATCCCCCATCATCACCAAGCCCCATACATTCCATACCACAACTTCCAAAACGTAGTCGTGGTGCGGTCCTGTTTCCATGGCGACGGTTTCCCTTTCCCGATCTTTGTGTGCTTTTGGAACAGCCTGTGTCTCCTTGGAAACAACATGACTACCCAGCCCACAGTTGTATTTTCTTCGCTCTAGGGTTAGTCTTGTCATGCTTTTTGAAACGATTATAAAGTCATTACAGAGATTTTGTGATCCATTAAACACAGATCGCTGAAACCACAGACAGAAACACATTCGCTGTGCTGGTGAAAGGCAGTTGGTTTGTTGCGCAGTTCAGCACAAAATGTTGGTTACACTTTACTTGAAGGATTGTGCATAAGACTGACATGACATCTTCACAATCATGACATGACACATGTCATGAATATGAAGGGTTTTTATGCATGTTTATGACAACTCATTAAGTGTCATTCGCTCAGTTATGTCATTTAATGCAAAGATTACATTGTTTGAGATGTCTTTGTTATGGGCTATGGTTAGGGGTAAGGGTAGGGGTAGGGTTAGGTCAAATAATGTCATATTTGCATTAAAAATGACATAATTGAGCGAATGACACTTAATGACAGTTGTCATAAACATGCATAAAACCTCCTTCATATTCATGACATGCACACCCCTTCAAGTAAAGTGTTACCAAAATGTTTACTCGTAAATCATTTCAAGCAAACAATAATGGTTAGATTGAATGCAAAACACCCTTTTGAATGCACTCAGCTTGTGGATCATAGGCAGGAATAAAATGGGTTAAGCAATAAGACTAACTGAAATGAAAGCAGAATGTGGAGTTTAAACTGTACTTTGCAGATACTTAGGCTACATCATGTTTCTTTCTGGCATGCCTGCACAAAAAATGCATCATAAAATGATCATGTTTACCAGCTTAGCATGGTCATGAAGTTGAAAATGTTATATATAACTTGCATAACTTTCCACTGCTAATAAGCAATTTTATCAAACTATGAAACCAAGCATACACTACAGTTAAAATATTTTTTGAAAGGAAATTAATAGTTTTATTCAGCAAGGATGCATCAAATTAATCAAAAGTGACAGTAAAGACATTTATAATGTTAGAAAATGTATTATTCAAATACATGCTGTTCTTTTAACTTTCTATTCATCAAAGAATCCTAAAAAAAAAGTGTCATGGGTTCCACAAAATATTAAGCAGCACCTTTTAACCTTGATAAAAATTGATAATAATCGTGGACACCAAATCAGCGTATTAGTATGATTTCTGAAGGATCACGTGACACTGAAGACAGGAGTAATGATGCTGAAAACTCAGCTTTGCCATCACAGGAATAAATGACATTTTAAAATGTATTCAAATATAAAATGGTTATTTTAAGTTTCAGTAATATGTCACAGTAGTACTGTTTTTGACTGTATTTTTATCAAATAAATTGGTAAGCATAAGACACTTTTTTCAGAAACATAAAACAAAAAAATCTTACCGACTCCAAACCTTTGAACGATAGTGCATAATATTTCAGTCTTAAGGATATATTTCTGAAATAATGTATAGTTTTTTTTCTTTATTCCATGCAGTAAAATGGTTTGTTCCATTGTAAATTGTAATTGAAGTTTTAATAAATAGCACAAATACTGTCCATTGTCTATATTGAACATGAATATTCCTTTAAAGAGAAGTCTTTATAAACAGCCAGATGAAAATACAAACATATACAGTATATATATATAGAGAGAGAGAGAGAGAGAGAGAGAGCAAACAATATGGAATGGGAGACAGTGCACTGTAAAAAATAAGTGTAATTTTAACTGTAACATTTTGTAAAAACGCTATGGAAAAAAAAACATTAACAGTAAGTTCCCGTACTATATACAGGGAACAACTGTAAAATATCTAACCAGACATTTCATGTAATTTTACAGTAAAATGCTGTTAATTTGACAGTTTTTAGAAGTAAAAATAACAGATCAATGTAAAAACTGTAAACTGATATTCCCAGAATTCCCTGCATGACACTCCACATTTGAAAGTATTTTGTTTAAATAATCATGTTTTTTAAATAGTTTTTGTTATTAGTTATGTATATTTGGGCTTTATGTTACATCTTCTGTTGTTTAATGAAAGTTGAATGCATTATTTAAGTATCATGTGTGTTACCATGATGGTGTTTTGTGTTTGCATGAATGACTCTGTGCACCTTTTATATATTAGTTTATACTTCGTAATGAGCTTTGATTCTTCATGTGGCTTTCTCTTTTACCACCTGCATTATTATGGTGGTTGTCAGTATGTTAAAGGTACAAATCAGATTTTAATAGCAGTGTGCATTGTTGAATTTACTGGTTTACGTTCCAATTTTCTTGTTTGTAAATTACAGTATTATACTGTAAAATTTAAATGTGCCGTAAATGTGTTTACAGTTTTTCTGTATTTTTTACAAAGTTATTCTGGCAACCACAGCTGCCAAAATGATTTTGTACAAACTACAGAATTGTTTTACAGTGTGGGTATAGAAAAGAATCACCTGCTTTAAAATAATCTTCCACAGCCGTCTTCATTTTAGGCTGCAAAGCAACAAAATGTGATTATTTTAAAGGGGGTGATTCTTTTCTGTACCCACTGGAGATCTTGACAGCTCCAAATTCAGCAGCACTGTTTCTGTACTCTTTAGACTTTTGAGTTCAGAAACCTTAATCTCCAAGTATAAAATGTGACTTAATAACAGACTTCAACTCTTGCCGTGGTGAAAGTCCTTGTCTGTCAGGATGTAGCGACCCTGTAACCTCTCAGTCCGTCATAACAACCTCAAAACTGCTCCTAGGAGACCACTTCACAAGGAATCTTTAGAGCTGTAAAGCTGACAATGATCTTAGAAGCAGTGGTAAACACAATATAGCATCCTTAAAAGGTCCCTTGGGGGATTGCTATTTTAACATGCTATAGTCGATAGCATCTGACCATTTTGGCTAATTCAATTGCTCTGCCTAGTTGTGCTTAGCCAATTTAGCAGCCATCAGATTGCAGTGCAGACCATTTTTAAATGTTTATGTCTTGGAGTCTGAATACCATTAGATATTATGGCAGGCAGATTTTGGGACTTGCACCACAGACCGTTTGCTTATGCTTCAAAACAGATGGTGATACAGTTCATTAACTTCTAAGTGTACAAAAAAGCTAGTTGGGATTCATTTTTTCAAATATTTTCATCCAAACAATGCATAAAAATGCATTAGATTTAGATTATTTTCATATAGCTCATTCATTGGTGAGAGTCACTCCTCTGTTTGATACCAAGCTGACTGACACTGACTAACACTTTGGAGAAAAGCGTCTGCTAAATGCATAAATGTAAATGGGCTACATGATAGACAAAAATCATAATTGTTGATTATTCCCTTAAAATTGTAATTGCGATTATTAATTACCATTATCACAGTTTACATTGAATGATGTTTTGAATAGATTTATACCATTGTTTGAAGCAACTTCTTGCCATATTTTTATATGAAAATAAACAAGCTGAAAACACTCTTCCTGAAAAACCTTTATTGCTTTTGAATAGCATTAAGCCTCAAATGTCAACTATACATTGGTTTGGTTTCTTCTTTAAATAAAAAAAAAAATTCAAATATGCATGGTATTATAATGTTCCACTAAAACTAAAATGAAAACAATGGGGGGAAAAGCTTAAGATAACCTGTAGAAAGAAAACATACACACATCTGAAGTATTCAGAATAATGTAAGTGGACCTTTTTATTAATTTTTTTGTAAGTGCGCCTTTGAACGATTATGTAATTGTGGCATCCGTAATTGTAATCACGATTAGAAATTGGATTAATTGTGCAGTCCTAATGTATCGTCTGTTGTTTATTATATAACAGATGGGTAATGTTGTTACACGTTACTTGTACTTATTATAGTAATAACAGTAAATTATGCATAATTACAAGTAACTAAACCTAACCCAAACCTTAACCCTATAGTAAGTACTTGTGGTTAATTAATGACATTATCTTGAATATGGGGGGTATTTTTATTCATTTTGGTGGCATTTTGCCCCGTTAATTTCTGACCCTGTTACTCTCTACTTATTTTTGTAGTTACACTGTAAAAACGTCACCTTGAAATAAAGCTTGGCCAACAGATGTTCTTGTCCTCAGCACAATTGTTTAAAATAATTGTACAGAGAAAACATTTCTAGCTGAAGGATGCATTTGCTTAATAGAATAAGATTTTAATTAGTGCTAAACTGATATATTGGCCAGAGTAATAAATCAGCCCATATTTGCCATTTTTAGATGATCAGTATTGGCTAATAACTGTGTTTGCATTGGATTTCCTTTGCATCAGATCCAGAATCGACCAATAGCCAATGAATAATTCATCATTTCCATTTCAAGTTGTTTTTGTGAATTATTTTGAAAATATTCTGTAAGGTTACATTTGAGCAAATATGAGTCTCAACTGTTTTAATAAACTGCATTAGTTTGTATCACACACACACATATATACTGTACATATATCGGCCATATGTGAGCTATTTGTAGGTTGACTTTGGGGTAGAACTGTCTGTTTAACTAAAAAATTGCAGACAGAGGAAGTGTTTACTGTGCTTTTTAGAACTATTCAGTATTTATTACATTGTAATAACACAGTTATAATGTTATTACATGGCAGACTGACTGTAAATGCTTTTGATTTTTACTACAGCCAAAAGACAGGACCATTAATAAGCAGTCTTGACAGTTTTGCTTGATCATCAGCGTCATGTTTGTTGTGGTTCCTTCATATCTCATGTATTTCCTACCGGTGGTATTTACTAGCAGCACCACATGACCTTCACAGCCAGTTTTTCCATTCCCTCTTTTCCAGCTGCCCGTTCCTGGCATCAAACCTGACCCCTGCCATTCCAGCCATCGGAGGAGTGCTGTTCATCTTTGTGATGGGAATGCTGCTGCGGGCGAGCTTCACCGACCCGGGCGTCCTGCCCAGGGCCACACCAGAGGAAGCAGCCGACATCGAGAGGCAGATAGGTGGGAGGAAATGCCAAGATGATCGCTCTTCCTGTCTGTCTTTCCACGTTCTGTTCTTTTCACATTGAGCTGAATTTGCAGGCTCCGGTTGCAGGTCTGTGCAGTGCACTACAGAGAATTCTCAGAGTAAAAGGAGACGGAGAACATTTGATGTTATTCTCTCTTCTCATTTGATATGAATAATGCATGCTCTCTCTCAGGTTTGCTGTCAGACCAGAGTAATATAAAATCTGCTGAAATATTCATCCCTAGCAAAGATTCACGGTCTCTCAGAGTATTCGTTCATGTTATTCAGTCTGATAGTTTAATCAGTCACGAGATAATGGATGTTCATAGGTTGGTTTGGGTATTATTAAAGGGCCAGCAAGGAAGATTTAACAGCAATTTCGTACTACATTCAAAATTTAACTGTGAATTTAGCCATTTTATGACATAACACAACAAATTAGTGGACATTTTCCACAGTGCGCAGGTTGATTTAATATGAATTTGCTGGTTATAATTGAATGGAGTCACTGCTATAATGAGTTGCTGGACTCTCATTGAGACAGAATTTAGTGGACTCCACTGGTGAGAAATTGAAATCACTGGTACTGAGCCAGGGAAGTGCACTTTAGCTCGGGATTTGGAGTTATGTGTCCCTGCTGTTTGTATGAATAATATAGTAGCAAGTAAACACTGCTGTGAGCCCCAGCGGTGCTGTGTGCTGCTTAGAAGATGCTTAGCATGTTGAGGGTCACATAAGATGTGAGCTCATTAAAGCAATAGTTTACTCAAAAATGAAAATGCTGTCATAATTTACCCTCACCCTTAAAACCCATGTGACTTTTTTCTGTGGAACACAAAAGGGAAGTTTTGAACAATGTCTGTCAAGCTCCAGAATGCACCATAATATTAGTGCTTTTGCCTGAACGAGGAAGTCTCTCCCGACTGGAGTGATGCTTTACATTTCCGGTCTCTGGCGTTTCTAGTCAAATTTTAAGTTTCCTATTACGTTAAACCTATGGAAATGGTTTTAAAAAGCACATGGCGCCAAAATCACTTCACAGTAAGTGCACATGAGTGCACATACTCTCCCTACAGCTTTGATCGGTGCGAAGTTCGGAGGATTTTGTCCACGAAATGATAAGAGCACACATTATTTTAACACATTACTTTATTATTTTACACACACTATTTTAACTTTTAATGGGCCATGCTCGTTTTCTCTTATCAGAGTTTGACATAGAATGCAACACATACACTGCCAGACACGGACAGATTTGCTGGTGCGTAAAACAAGTACTTTACAGCTTATTGCTGTTACTGTGGCACCGCTTAACCATGCGCACACTTTTATATTTAGTAGCACTGAAAACGTTTCAGGTTAATTAATTCAGTCTCTTATTGAAAGAAGTCTCTTATGCAACCAAAGTTGCAATTATTTGATTAGAAGTGCAGTTAAAACAGTAATATTGTCAAATATTGTTACAATGTAAAATAACTGTTTTCTATTTTAATGTATTTTAAAATGTTATTTATTCGTGTGATGGCAAAGCTGAATTTTTTCAGAAATTATTCTAATATGCTGATTTGTCGAATATGTTAATTTATTGAGTTATTTATTATTATTTTATTTAATTAATTTGTTCATAATATGGCTTGGAATAAAGGGTAAGGATTTTTGTAAGGATACATATAAGGAATTTTCCAGATTCAGTATCTGTGACATACTGCCGATTGCCACAGATAATAAATGTGATTTGCCCTAAAAACGGTAATATACAGTAATGCGTGTATAATGAATGTCTATAGGCCAAGACAAAATGACCAATGGATAAACTTTAAAACACTTGCTGTTTTGAAAGCACAGCCACAGAACATTATGTACACAAGTTCTCGTAAGCAGTACTCATATTTACATAAAATAACGTGATTTAGACAACTCATCTAACATTTAAACCCTCTAAAACGCCTTGCCCAATATTCTTCCATTGTAACTGCTTTACTATAAATGCCATTTTGGTTTATTACAAACTGAAGGATTTTCTGTAGTAAATAACATCATACTGACATGCAATAGAAGAGATTTCCTCTTCAAACTTAAAAAAAAAAAAAAATTTGTTTCTGCAATCGGTCTGTTCTGGTTTCACAGATACAACTAACGGCCCGAGTGGCCCAGGCTACAGACCACCACCCCGAACCAGAGAGGTGCTCATTAACGGTCAAACAGTCAAGCTAAAATACTGTTTCACCTGCAAGATCTTCCGACCGCCGCGGGCCTCACACTGCAGCCTGTGTGACAACTGCGTGGGTAAGCATCTGTGTATACTATACGTGTCTGCAAATATGTTTATATAATAGTCAGCATCACGTAAAGAAGAGCTAACATATGATTTTCCTGGCTGTGCGTTTCTCCTCAGAGAGATTTGATCATCACTGCCCGTGGGTGGGCAACTGCGTGGGGAGGAGGAACTATCGCTTCTTCTACCTGTTCATCCTCTCACTCTCCTTCCTCACCATCTTCATCTTCGCCTTCGTCATCACGCACGTAATACTGAGTAAGAGTGCTGACCACCTACCCTCTTATATAACTTCACCCTTCAGTCCCAAAACACACCTAGTCCTATTTAACAGCGTTCAGCAAAACAACTCAGGGTTTTTGCTTTTTCCTAAACCAGGATTTGCCAGTTTGGGGTTTTCAAGATCGTAATAGAAATAGAATCGTACAGTTTATTCCTGATGCAACCGGTTGGTCAAGTCAAATTTACTGTATGTGTGCATATACATTTAGACATAATTACATAATAAAAATTAGCCAGTTGAGATTTGCTATATAGTATATATCGCTTCACGTTTGTATACTGTATGTATGCAAGTAAAGTTGCATATAATATGTATGCAATTTTATAATTTTATATTTACAGTTGATTGCAATGATATAAACAGTCATGCAGCTGAGATTTGATATATAGTATATATTGGTTTATGTGAGTATACTGTATGTACGCAGGAAAAATAGGATGTACTATATATCCAGCTTTTAATACGTTGCTGGGCAATAATATAGTTACATTTTTCAATGATATAGAACATACAGTTTGTACTGTACCGAAAGTGTACTGGATGTATCTGGGTAAGGTTGGATATACTTATAGATGTTTGTTAGTAAATTTGTTATTAATTATGAATTCATTCATCTCTTGCACAAAAACAGATATAATATTCCTAGAAATGAATCAAAACGAAATGCAACTCAACATATGACACAAAGCTGCAATAATTAATTGTTAAATAACACAAATATCCTTTACGTATTTAATCCCGTTTTATTAACCAATGTCTTTACTGCTGACCTTTGATGGCCCAATTCAACCACGCTAGCAAGCAAATATGACTTTTTTGTTGCTGTTGTTTTTTATTTAGTGTTGAACTTTCTTCTATTGCGTCCTATTCTTCATGCAATCCAAACTATGAGCTGCCTGTCTCTACTGTACAGACATGAATTTACATACAAACAAAAGAAAGAAAGAAAGCCCTGCCCAGATGAGAAAAAGTAACACACAAGTAACCTATCGCATTACTTTCCATTAAAAGTAACTAAGTAACGCAACTTCCCCCAACACTGTTTCTTACCTCAACTCGTTTCTCTTACGAAACATTTCAGACCAATATTTCTGGTGAGTATTTGCTCCGAAATGCCCGTTCAAGACCTAGTACTGGTTCTTCATCACTGTAATGTATGGTTCAGCTTCCCACATCGATCGACTGTTGACTGGCAGGAGGAATCCATGAGGCCGCTGACAAAGCAGTTTCCTCCCTGGGCAAAGTAATGGAGAGCTCAGCGCTGTTTACTGCACTGAACTGATCAATCGGGCCGTGAGGGCAGGGGCACTCTGGGGTTGCTGTAGTGACAAATGGCTTCTGTAAGATGTTTATTGGACAGGGCACACTCAGTGCGGCTTTATTTACCCACGAATCTGTCCTCAGATGCCCTCTGGAAACCATTAGCATCAAACACAGTGGCTGACTTTGAAGCAGTCCAGAAGGTGAATGCATTGAGAGTGTCAGGACAGTCGCTTAGGGATTGGTGCATCATGGGACAGCGATGTCAAATTGTAATATCACGGTGCTTTCAAAATACTGCGTGATACTGAAAGATTTCCATGTAGTTATAAATATTCATTCATTCATGTCCATATGTGACCCTAGACCACAAAACCAGTCATAAGGGTCAATTTTCTGAAATTGAGATTTATACATCATCTGAAAGCTGAATAAATAAGCTTTCCATTGATGTATGGTTTGTTAGGATAGGATATTTGGCCGAGATACAACTATTTGAAAATCTGCAAAAAAAATCAAAACATTGAGAAAATCACCTTTAAAGCTGTCCAAATAAAGTTCCTAGCAATGCATATTACTAATCAAAAAATACGTTTTGATATATTTACGGCAGGAAATTTACAAAATATCTTTATGGAACATGATCTTTACTTAATGTCCTAATGATTTTTGGCATAAAAGAAAAATCAATAATTTTGACCTATGCAATTTATTTTTGGCTATTGCTACAAATATACACCAGCGACTGAAGACTGCTTTTGTGCTCCAGGGTCACATATAGTGTGGTACTCCAAGGTAGTTCATAATACCATGGTAGTGAAGAAAAACATGGTATTGTCATGTATTATCCAGAGTATTAAGACCGGGAAATGCTGTTACAAAAATAATACGTTTTAAAAGGATAAACTTAAGTGCACTGAATATAATGTTTTTGAATACTTAATTGCACGTTAATTGCAATTCAGTGAAAATGTATTATGTAACATTTATATTAAATGCAATTAGCTGAACTTTAGAGTTCTTTTTTTTTTTGACCCACTTAAGAATACATCTTTTAGTACATCATCTTTTATCATATGTAATGTCATAATTAATTATATTGTTTTTGAATTATGGTTCAAGTGCACTGCCGAATGCACTGACAACCATCTAAACTAAAATATACTTTAATGTGGGGCAAATGAGGTCTGGTTTCACGTTGTTTCACGCGAACCGCGGTGAAACAACTAAATTGAGAGTAAGCCGTCCAGAGACGCCATCGTACGGAGCGTATCATATGCGCAAGTCAGCATATATTAAACACTTTTAAAACTACACAGCCTCAGCATGATTATGATCACTATTTTGTTTTACTAAGAGTTTCATATTGAATCTAAGGGGTAAACTATTAGACTGTGGCTGTCAAATGCGGCTTTACCGAGCTCAACGGCTCCCTCTGACCCGTGCAGATATAAACAAAACGCTATTGGCTAATTTAAAAACCTGTCTTCCTGTTAGAGTTGAAATTATGTCATCACATAGAATAACGCTGCGTGTTTCAAGCATAGACTGTAAAAAAAACTGGATTCAAGGCACTTCAGGGGACCTTTAAAACATCACATTGACCTCAAACTTTTGAAAGGCAGTGTAAATTAAATAGACGTGCCTTATTGACAAAAATTAGTGCTGTTATTTTTGCAGTATATATTAGTAGGCCTACTTGTAGAAAACAGGTACTTAAAGGGGTCATATGATGCTTTTTTTAAAGATCATTATTTTGTGTATTTGTTTCGCCTAGAAACACACAGCGTCTCCCTGACATGCTGCTTCAACACTGACTGCGGTTACTGAAACCACGCCTTCTTTCTTTGCGGGCACATTTGGGCCGCATTATGCAAATATTTCCACATAGTGAGGTAGATATGTGGGGGCGTGTTAGAACGAGCCGTTTTAGGGGGGCGTGGCAGAGTCTTAACTTTGATAAAGAATATCTCTTTGGTTTTGAGACTTTAGTCTTTGCAACTTCAGGGATCTTATCTATGCACAATCAGCTTGTAACACTCCAAAGAGAAAGGAAAACTTGAAATCGCATCATATGACCCCTTTAATGGAATTTTAAAAACTAAACGTTTGTGTGCATTTTCTATTGATCATGGCAGCAGTGATTCATCAAATGACAAAGAAAAGAGCACATATCCAGGCACATATCCAGAAGTGCGATGTAGTCGAGCACACCTTCAGCATTTTAAAGATGCGATTCAGGTGTCTGGATTGCAGTGGTGGGATGACGCTCTACAGACCCAGGATTTCTAGTGTGCTTGAGTTCTTTGATACGGATCCATTTGCTGAAGCTGCCAGTCAGCTTTTATAATAAGTGGATGAAGTAGTGCATGTAAAGATTTCTATTTTCCTTGACGGTTGTACTGTTCTGGAAGTGGTGGTGTGCTTTTTCTCCGTCTGGTCCATCGTGGGACTGTCAGGCTTCCATACCTACCTGATCAGCTCCAATCAGACCACCAATGAAGATGTGAGTACCTCTCATTCACTTTTAATGCTTTATCTCAATATTCATTAACTAATCAAATATGCTGCTGGGATAATAGTCGGTGTTTTAGAATAATACACCCAGGACTGTATGTTACATTGATCATCAAGACAAAATCCTACAAACGGTCCAGATTTAACACCCTTCAAGCTGCAAATGCACGTCCGATTACGTGTGAAGAGCATGTTTCTCTTTAGGTATGCAGTTGTCCAATCCACTGTGAGGTTTTAAATCACACTTTATTTAAAGGACCAGTTCTCACTATTAACTATGACTTTCGCCTCAATTAACTCCTAATTTGCTGCTCATTAATAGTTGGTAAGGTAGTTGTTAAATATAGGTATATGGGATTAAGGGATCTAGAATAAGGCATTAATATGTGTTTTGTAAGTACTAATAAACAACCAATATGCTAGTAATATGCATGCTAGTAAGCAACTAGTTAACAGTGACAGTTGGTCCTTAAACGAAAGTGTTATTTATTTTTTCTCCAGAACTTCATCTTACACACTACTGTTCAAAAGTTTGGGGTTGGTAAGATTTTTTTAATGTTTTTAAAGTTTTTCTTTATGCTTACCAGTAGGGATGTAACATTTTTTTTTTTTTTTTTACAAAATGAGATTTAAGACAAATTATAAATTAAATGTGTCCTTTTATTATTGCTTGAACAAAATGCTGCCGATTTCTTTGTGAAATTGAAATATAACACTATACTAATATACTAATATAGCACTTGCATATATTATAGCTCTTTTGTTGGTTTTGATTGCTTCTATTGTCCTCATTTGTAAGTCGTTTTGGATAAAAGCGTCTGCTAAAAAACTAAATTGAAATTTTAAAACAAGCCCCAAATCAAATAAGTAACACAAATAAAATAAATATCTTCATATAAACAAAATAAGGCTTTGTCTGTGCTCTTTCCATTTAAAATTAAGAGGCAACTACTGCATTTTAATCTTGATCCAAACAAAGATGCTGCATACATGCAACATGAGCGGTTTTTAGCATCTAAGCATCTAAATTAGATTGTATAATTTCGAAATTTGAAGCAAAAACAGATTGATTTGACTTCAGTTTTGTGAAACTATAAATAAAAAATATCTGTATGAAACCGAAACAGCAGACGAGCTGAACTAGACGCAGACTCACTCTCCGCCAGCAGGTGGCGCTTAAAGCGTTTCCTGGTTTCTGCTGTAAACAAAGCAGCGCTGCACTTATGAACTTTAATATGCATTATACAGAGGCATGATGAAAAGAAAAAATACCATCTAAACTTTTCTAAAGACAGTAAGTTCCCCTCAGACATGCATTCATATAAACTCCTACCCCTAAATTAATCGCGATTTGTTTAGCATCTCAACAGATTTGAATCGTCACTTATTTGAATCGATTTTCAACCGGCTCGCGGTTAATTGTTACATCCATACTTACCAAGGCTGCATTAATTTGATTAAAAATACAGTAATATTGTTGCAATTAAAATTGCCATTGTGTATATTAAAAAAAAAAAAGTAAAAAAAAAAAAGGAATTCCTGTGATGGCAAAGTTATATTATGAGCAGCCATTACTATATTATTCAACAGAAATCTTTCTGATATGCTGATTTTATTCTCAAGAAACATTTCTTATTGTTATCACGGTTTAAAATGGTCGTTCTATTGGAAACTGTGATACTTTTTTTTCAGGATAATTTATTTTGGATTATTATAAATTCACAAGAAGACAATTAGTTTGAAATATAATTGAGTCACTTTTGATCAATATAGTGATTTTTTTGCTGAATAAAAGTATTTAAAAAATATATATATAAAAATCTTACCGACCCCTGAACTTTTGAATGTATGTGAAACATTTCTTTTTAGAAATATGTTTTTAGAATGACGGCGACTGATGGATATCAATATGTAAAATATTGTTTGCTGTTTGTCATAAATATGCAAGAAGTAAACAGATTTGTCATTCCATTTTCGAAGGAGCAAAAATGTTCACGGCCATTAAGGAATATTTATGACCAGTACATTTCCTCAAATCACCCGACCGCAGGTTCATTTTGGACCCTGCATACAAAGTTTATTAAAATTTTTACATTTGTGAACCAAGATCAAAAGAGACACTTGGAAAGTCTGACAAGCGTTACGGGAGCACTTCAAAAGACTGGGTTTTGAAGATCAATGTGTTTGGAGGTATTTCTCACCGTAACGCCTAGCAGGAAGCAAAACATAATCAAGCTAAAACTCGTTTCCATCTTCACCCTGGTTCGTCGTCTCTGAGCGTCTCGCTGTCTGCTCTGATGTTGGCAGCTTGTCCCTCTCAGCTACTGTAATTCTCATCACTGTTTCAGATCAAAGGTTCATGGTCATCCAAACGAGGCAAAGGCAACTACAACCCCTACAGCTACGGAAACTTCATCACCAACTTCTGCGCTGCACTGTGTGGACCTCTGCCACCGAGGTGAATGCAGCAACTCCCGCTATTTTTGCTTTTGTAATGTCTTTATGTTCAATGTCTGTTCAAATGGAATACAGTAGACTGCATTACAGCATACTGCACAGTATATTAGGGGTGGGACAATATATCGATATGGCGATATATCGTTGTCCTCCTTCATGCGATACGAGAATCGATATCTGGCACAAATATCGATATTTTACTACAATAAGGCGCTCTATATAGATTTCCCTGCTCCCAGCATCTAAAAAATGCCGCAGCCGCGCCATTTCCACCTTCTTTCCAAAGCGCTCTGAGCAACCATGAACTGCGTTCTCTATGAAGATGGGGAAGCACGAGGAACCGAAGGATAAACAGATTTCCAGCCAACAGTTTGGACTTGAATAAAGAGAGAAAACTTGCACTTAACTTTTTCCCGGGCATTTTGTTTTCATAGTTAGACAGATATCGTGATGTATCATTATAGAATTGTCTAGCAATATATCGATTATCGCGATATTATTGTATCGTGAGCCATGTATCGTGATTCGTATCGTATCGTGAGGTACCCTGCGCTTCCCACCCCTACAGTATATACTGCTTACTACCTTTAAGAAAAACAAGACAACCGTTTTTAAAGAGTGTTATATTTCTGTTACCTAATTATGTTGCATGTTTAC